TGCAAATGAAGCCGGGATTTAAATATCCCGAGCTTCATTTGCATAATCACGTTATGGCGCTATTTTGAAATAACAGACACTGTTAAGATGCAGTTATTTTGAGAGAAAACCCTTCTCTTGAAATAACCTTATTCCTCATAAAATGAGGTTTACCAGTTATTTTGAGAGAAAACCCTTCTCTCAAAATAACTGCGTCTTAACAGCGTCTATTATTTCGAAATAGCGCCATAATACTATTATGCAAATGAAGCTCGGGATATTTAAATCCCGGCTTCATTTGCAATTTCGAATGTCTTCATTTGCATCCCTCTCTCGAAAGAGGGTGCAAGTGTAGACATACCTTCAGGAAACTCTGCCGACCCTATTTGGACTGTTTTTTTCTACTCCCTGAATTTCTAAGTGCTCAGGATCACCTCTTAGCTCTTTATCTGTAGCTTCTTTCTAGTTTTCTCTTAAATTCATTGGTTCTTTCTTTCATTTTGAAACACGGTTGCGTCTTTTGTGTAAAGAAAAAACTGAAAACACACTCCAAGGCTGTTGAAAGCCATGTCATTCTGGCTTAAAAGGTCTGTGTCTTTTATTACAGCTCCTAGTTTATTCTACTTTATTCTTTGTGTACTGTATGGAACAGTTTCTTCTGATGTTCTGTGTCCTCTGGTTTGTGGAATACTTGTACGTGTGATTCCCTGGTATTCAGTTTCTCCTGTGTGTCATTCCTGTATATCTTCATTTTAAAAACTTCCTTTTGGCAGTTTCTGTGAATACTCCTTTAGCAAGAATCTACCTGGCTTTCTAAAGGTTCATGTCAACTCTTAAAACTGAGCATTTCTAATTGCTAGTTGCTGCAAAGATCACACTTGGCACTTGAACCAGGGCCATTAGTCATGCCTCAACTTGATTTTTCTTAGTTCTTCAAATGAGACACATACACCAAGGTTTGCAATTCCACACAAGTCTCTTTTCATTAGCGCTTTTTCAGGGCTGTTCCAATCATACTTGACAGTTCTGGATCTCTCTCCCATAGTTGTCTATGAACTTGGTCCCACTGTAGATCTTTGATATTAGGAGGGGCAGAGCACACCATGTTCCCAGTTGGAGATCAGTTTCCCAGGTTGCCGGCTTCTCTTTCCCCTATTCGGGGATTCTTCCTTCCAAACGGGTGGAATTATAGGACCGAGTTCTTATCTGAAGAACCTTTATTCTTAAGACTTTGACATTATTACACCTTTCCAACCCTGGTCTACTAGTTCTCTCTCAAGCTCACGAATTTAAAAAACAAGACGGGTTCTATCAATTTCCAGCCATATTTAGCACATAGATAACATGGAGATAGATGTCTCTGAAGTACCATAGTTTTTCTGTTTCCTCTTCCTGTGCCCATTTCCCTATCAGAGCTTTCAGCACCACTGTTCCATGAGCTATTCCAATGGTTCTCTTCTCCCTTATTTCCTCCAGAATTCATGTTGCTTTTTGCAGTATTACCCAATTATAGTTCAACAAAGATCTGGTTTGAATCAGGCCTCTTTATTAATTGCTTGTATTCTGGTTGCAACTGGAGGACCCAATCAGGATAAAGATCCAGCTTGGCTGCTGATTTATTTAGACCACTTCTGAGTCCTTTGCTGCCCTTCCCCCTCCATTCCTCATCTTCACTGTCATCTCCCTCAGGACAGCAGAATAAAAGCATCACCTCCTTGATTCTCCTCTGTGCAAGCTGAAAAGCTGTGCCTCACCGTTCATGGGAGTCATCACATAGTTGTTCTCTGCTTGTCTCTTCTCTGAAGTTTTACTTACACTTGAGCTTTCCAGGAAGAACTGGAATTGCTAACCAATAAATACAACTATGATATCATTGGTATTACAGAAACCTGGTGGGATGGGACGCATGATTGGAATGTTGGTATGGAAGGGTACGGCTTGCTCAGGAAGGACAGACAGGGAAAAAAGGGAGGAGGGGTTGCCTTGTATATTAAAAATGTACACACTTGGACTGAAGTGGAGATGAACGTAGGAGATAGCTGTGTAGAGAGTCTCTGGGTTAAGCTAAAAGGGGTAAAAAACGAGGGTGATATCATGCTAGGAGTCTACTACAGGCCACCTAGCCAGGTGGAAGAGGTGGATGAGGCCTTTTTTAAACAATTAACAAAACTATCCAAAGCCCAAGATTTGGTGGTGATGGGAGACTTCAACTATCCAGACATATGTTGGGAAACTAACACAGCGAGGCACAGGCTATCCAATAAGTTTCTGGACTGCATTGGAGACAACTTTCTGTTTCAGAAGGTTGAAAAAGCTACCAGAGGAGAAGCTGTTCTGGATTTGGTTTTAACAAATAGGGAGGAACTAGTTGAGAACTTGAAAGTGGAAGACAGTATAGGGGACAGTGATCACGAAATAATAGAGTTCATGATCTTAAGGAAAGGTAGAAGGGAGACCAGCACAATTGAGGTAATGGATTTCAGGAAGGCAGATTTTGATAAGCTCAGAGAACTTGTAGGTAAGGTCCCATGGGAAGCAAGACTGAAGGGAAAAACAACTGAGGAGAGTTGGAAGTATTTCAAAGGGACGTTGTTAAGGGCCCAAAAGCAAACAATTCCGCTGTGTAGGAAAGATAGAAAATATGGCAAAAGACCAGCTTGGCTTAACAAGGAGATCTTGCATGATCTCAAAATAAAAAAGGAGTCATATAAAAAATGGAAACTAGGACAACTAACAAAGGATGAATATAGGCAAGCAACACGGGAATGCAGGGGCAAGATTAGAAAGGCAAAGGCACAAAATGAGATCAAACTAGCTACAGGCATAAAGGGAAACAAGAAGACCTTTTATAAATACATTAAAAGCAAGAGGAAGACCAAGGACAGGGTAGGCCCACTGCTTAGCGAGGAGGGAGAAGCAGTAACAGGGAACTTGGAAATGGCGGAGATGCTCAATGACTTCTTTGTTTCGGTCTTCACCGAGAAGTCTGGAGGTGTGCCTAACGTAGTGAATACAAGCAGAGAGAGGGTAAGTTTAGAAGATAGGATACACAAAGAACAAGTTAAAAATCACTTAGGAAAGTTAGATGTCAGCAAGTCACCAGGTCCTGATGAAATGCATCCCAGGATACTCAAGGAGCTGATAGAGGAGGTATCTGAGCCTTTAGCTATGATCTTTGAAAAATCATGGCAGACAGGGGAGATTCCAGAAGACTGGAAAAGGGCAAATATTGTGCCCATCTATAAAAAGGGGAATAAGAACAACCCAGGAAACTACAGACCGGTCAGTTTAACGTCTGTCCCAGGGAAGATAATGGAGCAGGTAATTAAGGAAATCATATGCAAACACTTGGAAGGTAATAAAGTGATAGGGAATAGCCAGCATGGGTTTGTGAAGAACAAGTCATGCCAAACTAATCTGATAGCTTTCTTTGATAAGATAACGAGCCTTGTGGATAAGGGAGAAGCGGTGGATGTCATATACCTAGACTTTAGTAAGGCATTTGATACGGTCTCGCATGATATTCTTATTGATAAACTAGGCAAATATAACTTAGATAGGGCCACGATAAGGTGGGTGCATAATTGGCTGGATAACCGTAGTCAGAGAGTTGTTGTTAACGGTTCTAAATCCTGCTGGAAAGGGATAACAAGTGGAGTTCCTCAAGGGTCTGTTTTGGGACCCATACTGTTCAACATCTTCATCAATGATGTAGATATTGGGATAGAGAGTACGCTTATTAAGTTTGCAGATGATACCAAACTGGGTGGGGTTGCAACTTCTTTGGAGGATAGGGACATAATTCAAAATGACCTTAGCAAGTTAGAGAAATGGTCAGAGGTAAACAGGATGAGGTTTAATAAAGAGAAATGCAAAGTGCTCCACTTAGGAAGGAACAATCAGTTCCATACATACAAGATGGGAAGCGACTGTCTAGGAAGGAGCATGGCAGAAAGGGATCTAGGGGTCATAGTGGACCACAAGTTGAATATGAGTCAACAGTGTGATGCTGTTGCAAAAAAAGCAAATATGATTCTAGGTTGTATCAACAGGTGTGTTGTAAGCAAAACTCGTGAAGTCATTCTGCCGCTCTACTCTGCACTAGTTAGGCCTCAGCTGGAGTACTGTGTCCAGTTCTGGGCGCCACATTTCAAGAAAGATGTGGAGAAATTGGAAAGGGTACAGAGAAGAGCAACAAGAATGATTAAAGGTCTAGAGAAGCCTATGAAGCCAGGCTTCATGAACTGGGCTTGTTTAGTTTGGAAAAAAGAAGATTAAGGGGGGACATGATAGTGGTTTTCAAATATCTAAAAGGGTGTCACAAGGAGGAAGGCGAAAATTTGTTCCTCTTGGTTTCTGAGGACAGGACATGGAGTAATGGGCTTAAAGTGCAGCAGGGGAGGTTTAGATTGGACATTAGGAAAACATTCCTAACTGTCAGGGTGGTCAAATATTGGAATAAATTGCCAAGGGAGGTGGTGGAATCTCCCTCTCTGGAGATATTTAAGAACAGGTTAGATAGACATCTGTCAGGGATGGTGTAGACGGAGCTTGGTCCTGCCTTGAGGGCGGGGGGCTGGACTCGATGACCTCTTGAGGTCCCTTCCAGTCCTATTATTCTATAATTCTATGATTCTCTTTGGATTTCCTCTGTAAACTGTTGCCCAGCTCAGTAAGGTACAGAGCATACTTCTCACATCACTATTGATTATAAAGTTTTTAGTCAGGCAGCTGCGGGTAAGCAGGTGACTTTTTTCATTGCTATCCTTGAGTGTTGCAAATTACCTCTCAGCTCAAACTACATAGCTCAAATACTTTAGATGTTTTACACACATACGGGAACCTAATATTTCACCCAATTTTTTATATTAATCTCCTTTTAATCCAGGCAGCACTGTAAGGACTAAAGATCCTTTACATTACATACAGGTAGGATTATGGCTTATTCATTAGGGAGAGAGAAAGATTGATTTTTCTTCTCTGTATCCTTGATAACTTTCCCTTTGCTGAAATCCTCGCAGATGCTTCTCCCTGCTCAGCCTGTCTCCACAGGAGGTGAAGATGTAACCCTCAGTATGAAAGGTAAATACCACGGCTCCCATAGAAAGTGGGAAATGAGCACTCCTGCTTCTCTGACAGAAAGGTTGTATTGTAAATTAATCCCTGCAAGATGATCTGCCCTTATACCCTCCTCTCTTGTGTTAAAGACTATATTGTCGTCTTGCATTTTCTCTGTTTATTTGTTGATTTACCATGGAATGAGGAAACTTTCAGATCCAAAGACAGATGCTTGTCAATAAATATCTCCCTTTAGAATTTCCTTAAATTCAAAGTTCATATGTCACCACAAATCTGTCACATGTTAAGCAGCAAATCACTGTAAGGCAAAACATAAAGAGCTCTCAGCCTAACGTGCCAAAAACCACTCTGTATATCAACAGGGTCATTGCAAGATACACTCTGCACAATGTCCCCAGATGACTGGAAATGGAACTTGGATGACAAGCCGTAGACCAGTTTGTGTATTTATTTTAGGAAATTGGGACAGAATACATTTTATGTGACATAGCAAAACCGTCTAGCAGAAGTAATGAAGGCAATTCTAAAATAACACAGCCTTGTTTTTAACCTTCTTACCCTTTTTTATTCACAGCTGGATGTAAATATTGGTGCTGTGCTGGAATTTGGGATTTTTCTTTTGTTCACATTTTGGCTGTTTTGTAAGCATAAGGCAGTGCACATTACCCCAGCTGGCCTAGAGAAATAGGCTTTTCAAAGGTTACATCTACACTTTGAATGGAATCAATGCTCTGAGATTGATCCACTGGTGGTTGATTTAGCAGGTCTAGTGAAGACCTGTCAAATCAACTACAGATTGCTCTCTAGTCAACCCTATTACTCTATCCCCTTATTCTTCTAGTTTGGAAGTCAATAGGAGAGTGTTTCCTGTCAACTCCCCATGGTGTAGACCCCAAGGTAACTTGACTTAAGTACATCAACTCCATCTGTGTTATTCCTGAATAACATAGCTGAAATTGCTTAGCTTAGATTGACTTTCTGTTGTAATGCAGATGTAGTTTAATTAAATGTGCAAAGACTGTTGCTTTACATAAACATGGCCCTCTGTCCAAAGCTGCCTTCTGGGTATTACAGAAGCCATTAGGACTAATATAATTTGGTTTCCAATAACAACCCAACAAATCCCGTTTTGTTGTATGTTGCCTCAAAGGGATGGTATTGGAAAAATGCATGGAACATTTTTAATACTCGGGGGCAATTTTTTAATTTGACTCGAAAAATAGATGGGACAACTTGAAGAATGGGGGCAGAGATGGTTTTGCTTCCTATAGACAAAGATAAAGAAAAGTCTGGTTGCAGCATTCAAAAACTCCGGAACTTAGAAATGTGTGTGGCGGAGGGAGGACTAGGAAAACTATAAAAGTGAGAATTGAGAAATGAAACAATGCAAGAATAAAGCTTTCAGTGGAGGCAGAACCAAGGTATGGACAAATTCTGGCATGAGTTACTGATATGTGACTTAAATGTGAGGGTGATACAAAAAAAGAAAAAAGTTCAAAGAGGAAAATGACTCCAACTGGCTATAAAAGAGAAATTAAGGTTTTACTTAAGGAGCCTGATAATGTCAGAAACATTTGATAAGTATTCTATCTAAAATCGAGACTTCAATCTTAAAAGTCTTCATTTAGTTGGCTACAGACGTTTTATGGTGTAAGCAGAATTTAGATGTGATACAGAGGATGGTCATAAATATCTTGGCCATTTTGAAACTTGCTTTCCACAAAGTACCTGAATTCAGGAAAGATACCTAGGTATAGACAGCAAGAGAAGCCGCCAGCAATCAGTTGTTGGTTCTACCCAGTCTGGACAGAATTTCTCAGGTAATACGTTTACATTTTGAGCCAGACTCTGTCAGTACACCCACAAAACTTCAGGCCACATCCATCTGAGTTTGCACACCCTCTACATTAACAAAAGTATATTGGGCAGTCAGAGATTGTTACCCAGTTTTATAAAAATGTGGGGAGTTTGCAGATTTATTTAATGCAGATGAGATGGATTTTTTCCCATCTCTCCAACAGACTAATTTTGACCCTGCATGAGGTTGTTTTTTTTCACCCAGCATCAAGATTAGACCCCAAATATACTTTGCCCCAAAAGTCTTTGTGCTAATTTTGTAAATTAACATATTTTATGCATTGACAGCTGTCCTATAAGCTGGAGGTCTTTTTTTAATCCTCAGAGCAAAATGAGCAGAGACAGGACATACTTTCCCCGCTAATGTGCATTTATCTTTGCTCTGGCAGATCAGAGGATGATAGTTCAGTACCTCATGGCCACTCCAGCAAGACTACCAACAAGACAGCACCAATGAGTGTTGAAGTTGTTTAAGTTTTTATTACATGGACACTGGTCTCAGTGGGAACTGGTCTGAGACCTACCAACTTATTTCATACATATTTGGTATGTAACTGGCCACCCTTCTGATCTAGAGCTGGAAAGGTTCCCTAAGCTGCCCTTTTTCAAATGAAGACTTTGTTAAGTTCAGAATGGTGAAAATGAGCTAAGGACCCTTGTGATAAGCTTGGAGAGATGAGCTGCCATGCCATTTAAAAAGAAAAAAACAAGAATGAGATTTTTTTCAAGTCTTCTCTTCTAGGCTGCCACCTTCTGTCCCCCGTGTACAGTATCTGCCATCTGTGTGAGTGTAATTTAGTGCCAATTAAGGAGTGAGTGGGAGCCATAAACTCATTTCATTTAGAACCTGGAAATGGACTCCTGGGAGCTGAGAGAGAGAACTGAGTGATTTCTCTCCACAAAAGCTGCTCCACCCCAGTGCTGTAATTCTAACCATCCTGCTCCAAATCTCAAAATTCAATGCTGGCTCGGATTTACGGAGCATTAAGCGACTGAATTAAATCTTCGATGTTCACTCGGAGTCAGCCTGAGTGAGTAAAGGATTTCATGGGCTGGGTTACTCTACAAGGCCATAATTCATAGCATTATGCAGAAGCTGCTCCTCTGAGTTTTATTTTGACTTGCTGCAATTTCTTTTTATTAAAGCCTCGGTAGTATTTGTTGTTTTTCTGTCTACTGTGATGTGGGAGTTTTGGATTAAATCTAAATAAATAAATGAGGTTTAAAATTAAATTAGGTTTCATTTGCATGAGTCTGGGAGTGAAGTGCATCTTTCTTTTACCATATAAAACCTAACAGACCCATTACCGATCAAACAGCCCTTAGTTGCTCATGAGAAAAATGACATTTCCCTTTGCGTAGGAAATACTTAAAAATCCCAAGAATAGATTTATAGGAATATTTTAACCTTTTCTTTGATCCTTGAAATGTCATTGTTCTGTAGGCTACATTGCAAAATGTGACCTTTTCTAGGAACCATGGGATAGATTTGATCTTTGGAAGATGTTTTACAGATAATGTACTATTGGGTGCAGGGAGCATTCATTCCCAATCCAGGATTGGAGCTGCTTTTTGTCTGCTTGTGATGAGTGGATGTTTGTGACCGATGTATATATTAGAGGCAGAGGTGTCTAGAGTGTATGTTCTTCTGGTGGAGACCAGGGAGACATAAGGGAGTATCACAACTTTTTATTTTCATTTGCAACTACTTCCTTTTTTTAAATTCAAACAAAAGAAGTTAAAGTACCAGTAATGGGCCATACGGGAAACTTTCATATGAAGATGCTTGAAATGCAGGTTTCCTGTAGTGTACGCTATGTTTGAGTTCCTGGCAAAGTTCACCTAAACTGGGCAGTTCAAGAAGAAATACGAAAGTTCAAAAGACTTGAACCTTTCCCCCAGATTTGTGTTCTGGCATGATGCTTCCATCCCCCCTTCACTGTTCACAGTTTGTATCTTTGGACTAAAACCCCCTAAACTCCATGTAATATTCACTATATTGAATGGAAAAGGAAGCACCGCCTGAATTCCTGTATAGCTGTGTTTAGTTTGGAAACCCCTAATCTTTTAGCAGTTGTCAACAAGAATGGAGAGGAGCCAGTAAAACCCATTTAAATGTCACAATGGGTGCAAGTTACTGTTTTTGCTGGTAATAGTATTCCAGACTAGATGCCCAAAAATTCCAGAGCACCGAACACATGAGTTCACCTATGTTGGAACTAATGCTGCAGCCCTTGCATGCCCAAAACTCTCACTGGAAATAACATTATTAATGTAGTATACCAGATGTCCCCAAAATAGCTTGCAGTGTAAGATGGAACTTTTATCAGTGGTGACACAGTGGGGATGGGAGATAAACAGGCTCCTGTTGGTTACACAAAAGATGGCAACAGTGTAGGAGAAAATGTGTCCAACTTCAGTATTCACGGATTTCTTGGGGGGATGGTCCTTCAGGTTTGTGGGCTGGTTCTCTGAGCTCCCTACTTTAATGCTGTAACTTTTCTGGGGTCCCACTGTGCACTGGAGCAGGTGTGAAATGGATAGGCAACTGTTGTGCTTAGTCTGAAATGTAGAGGAGTCCAAACACTACAGAAGGTTAGAGTGCACAATATAAACAAGAAGCAATCACCACTGACCTGGAGTAGCTGGGGTTGTAGTCTGGTAAACTGGCACAATTTGCCAAAAAAAATTGAGAGACATGGTGCTGTTAAAATGTGGACAACCTCAGAAACTCTGGGCATTGGCTCCTGCCTTATGTTCAGTCATGTGTATTGAGTCTGAAAGTATTTGATCCATAGCTAGTCTACTGGAAAAAAATAGCTAAGCAATGAGATGTCTGGGAGTCACTGGCCTTCATCAGTGACATGGCTGGTGACATTTTGAATGCAGGTAAGCAAAATTAACAAGTTAGGATTGGATACTGGTATGTTCTAGCAGTGGATAAAGTCCATGTATCTGAGTAAAAACAAGACATGCAGGGTAAACCCTGAGGAGCTGCCACTGCAATTTGTCTCCTTTTCTTGCGCACCAAATGCTGCTGGAGCTCTGCTAGATAATATGGCTGTTTGGCCAGTATATTGGACAACATGGCATGTTAATCACATCCATGGACTTATTGTACAATAAAACATGAATGTAAGGATATC